GTGATATTCTCGTCTGTTTTGATACTGACCGTGAGGAGCTCGTGGGCTCTGCAGCAAATGTTCCCAAAACTTCAATTTGAGCTGCTTCATTTAGTACTCCGAAATTATTCCTTTTTTAATTGTCACTGAACCAGTTTCGTAGAAATTATTCACCAAATCAAGCACATACATTACAATTTGGATGTCTTTTGTTGAAAAGACATGCCGCCTTTTGTGCGCACCTTCCAACGTCTCCATAAATTATAATCATTTCAATTCATGTTTACACTTTTATACACTTATTGAAGTAGTCAATAAACATTCCAACTGGTACAATACAACAGTATGCACAATACTACCACATCGTTTATATTTGCGAACCCATTTTTTGCCTGAAAACAGAAACTTTTTACAGCAGAAGTAGCAAAAAAGGACGGCTATTTGTACACTTTCTGCGATGAGAACTGAAAATTCTGCGTTTACTAAACTCGACTTAACTACCATCTACGTTTTACTATTATACCACTTTTTTATGTAAATTAATTGGAGCTAATCGCTAATGTTACCTCTAATAAAGGGTTTGAACGGTACCACCTATACTAGTTCTGATCGAACCATGCATCTCAGTATAGGCGTACTATACTGATAAAATAATAAGTCGGGGTACTATTGGAAGCAGAATTGAACGCCAATCAATGATGTGCCACTTGACCCCTCTTCCCATTTAAAATTCTAAAGGTAACATCTACCCCTCCCAGGGGGTTGAACCACGAGGGTTACAAATAGTGCTTGAAAGTGTCCCCCTTGACAATAACATTGATCTGATTTTTCGATTCATCATATTGCTTACTGGAAGGAATTAACTACATTCCAAACCTTTACTATTAACGTATTCAAAAACACTTCATTATGAGATTTTCACTAAACAGTTTCACAAAAACGCAACACGTGTTTCGCCATACAATGGCTCCTTTCGGGTGTGTCTTAACTAACTATATTCTATATATTAAATGTTTAATACACCTAATTTCACATTTTGAAGTACTTACATTTCAAATAACTGAGTTTCCACAGTTTCTACATTTGAAAAATATTCAGTAACGGGGAGTTATTGAACTCCAATTGATCATTCAGTAGATTACCCGAATTCTTGAATCTATTGAGTTCTAAACATTCTAGAAGATTGAGTTTCAAACCATTCTGTTCTAAATGTAATACGTCGTATTCATGATTGAACTCGTGTCCTTCTGCTAAAAGGTTGTTTGCAACATGTGGAATTTGCAAAACTACTTCAACGCTCTTTAATTGGGAAAATGTTCTTCCTGTTTGGCCAATATACAGTTTTGGGCAAGAGCCACCAGTCAGCTTATATACTCCTGATCTATCCGGCACCGAAGTTTTGTATTTATTGTTTTTAATAAATCTACGCTAGTCTTATTCCATTTTTGGTTAGTATACTAATCTTTAAAAGACAGCTGTTTAAATTTCATTATATTCTACTCATAAGTTTGTGAGTCATTGTGCTAAAAGTGTCACTACTTTCGTTATTTTTAAAACAAAGGATCAAAAACAATTCCGTATTTAAATTTTACAGTGCTTTTTAATGGGATTACTAGAACCACTAAAATATTGAATAACTATTTATGAAATTCTAGGTATTACCCAGTTTATATCAGCATCCAGTGGCTCACAGTAGGAGCATCAATATATCAGAAAATACCTCCAGGAATTCCCGAAAAAATACTATAAAGGCTATATCCACATACAGGATATAGCCTTTCCGCCATTAGTTTGGGATGTCACATTTATATCAGGTGTTACTCGAATCGAATGGTTTTCTTAGATTTCCGAATAGGGTAACTAATATTGCCTTATAATACTCACGTTTTTGTCTAATGAAATTATTTCGCCAGCTGACTTTCGAAAAGTTTGGTTGATATAATTTTCTTTGCTTATATTAGGATGTCACAAAAATTTTTTCCGTTTTTATGAGTCTACTTCAAACTGTAATTTCTCAATAAATACTTATTTAATTTGAACGAAATGAGCGCAATTAGTGCACTTTTGGCCAACGTAACACAAGTCGATTAATTCCGTTAGCATAAAAATCATGTGCTCAGGATTCAATAAGTCGACGATGGCCGTTTTTCCCTGGTACTGATTGGCGAAGGTTCTACTGGTCATCGACGGTCAATTCGTTTAATTTTCAGACGGTGATTTATGAAATGCATTGTCGAGCGTTATAGTGGAACAGGATCGGGCCTTTTCTGTTAACGGTGCCGGCTGCTACTAACGCTATTTTCGGTACATTTCGTCGATTTTCTCACAATACGATTTTGTTGTGATGATTTGGTTCGGCTGCAGAAAGTTTTAGTCAATCATATCAGCTGCTGACCACCATACAGTAACCATGTTTTTTATGGGTTTTCGCTTTCAAAAATTGCCTGGATGGCTCATCGGTGTCCTGAACGTCTCCTGTTATTCATTTATTTATTTGTAATACAATAATCTCCAGGACATTACAGAGCAGGAAATAACAGAGTATAATAAATACATCACAAACAAGTGACTGTAAAGTCTACAAACACTACAAACAACACAAACTGTAATGACTGCACATTTTATATTCATAATAGGGTTGTTCCTATTGGAGGATAAATGCAATCAGTTTTTAGGCTTAGCAGTTTTGAAAATCGTCGTTGAATTGCTTCTATTCTATCTATATGATATTCATAAAAAGGGCTCCACACAACTGACGCGTATTCTAACTTTGATTTTATGAAAGCATAGAATAGTGTTTTTAAGGTCGAAGTTTCTTTGAAATCACTACTGTTACGTGCAATTAATCCGTACAAACGACAGGAGGAGGTTACAACATTATCGATATGCCTATTGAATAATAGTGCAGTGTCAAATGTGACGACAAGATCAGTAAATGTTTCTGGTCTCACAAGGGAAACGTTTTCTATTGAATGAACAAAGATCAAGATGTTCGTTTTTAAACTGTATGACATGACCTTACATTTATCCGGATTTAGCTACAAGTTATTTCGATAACACCATTCTACAACCCGTCCTATGTTTGCGGAGAGGTTCACAGAATCATCTATGTTCTCAATGAGGCAGTATTGTTTCAGATCATCGGCATACAAAAGGAAATATACATCTAAAACATCTGCAATATCATTAAAAGAAGATATTAAAGATCAACGGTCCCAGATGTGACCCTTGCGGAACACCGGAAGACGCACTATATTCGGTAGATTTGAAACCATTGAGCTGAACATATTGTTTTCAATCCCTTAGATAGGACAGAAAGAGTGCAATTAAGGATGAAGATAATCCAAAGGCTACTAGTTTGTTTAGTGAAATGCCATGGTCAAGCCTGTCGAACGCCTCAAATAACATCAGTTTGGGCCCTATTGTCAATACATTCAGCAATATGTTGGGTTACAGTCAGAAGGTTGGTGAACGTTGAACGATTTTTCATAAAACCGTGTTAGTTTATACTTTTCATATAATATCACTATTTTTCATCACACATGACACTCCGATCCAAAAAAGAATCGTTTTGGTTGCGCAAAAGCAAAGAAGGACAGACCTCTAAACGTGGGGCACCCACTTTTCAAGCTTTTTGATCTTTCCAAAATGTTTTAAACTATCAAAAACCGCATGGAAGCTGACGCCCAGTTTATAGGGAAGAATTAGCCGAAAATCAACTGAACAACATCATAATGTAATGATCTGAAGAGGCAAAAATTGTAATTTTGAAAAAAGATGAAGCATCAATGAATAGAGCACAAAATTATCTATCGATCAGTATAAACCATGAATCAGTGAAGGAAATATTTATTGAGATATGAAGCTACAAAAAAGCATATAGCATTTAAAGCAAGCTTCCATAAATATTTCATTTTCATTTTTTTTTTCTATAAAAGTAGGCAAGACAACAGAAATTTACGGGATCAAAAATTGTAATTTCATTTGTTTCATCTGATGTTGATCTCGAACTTACAAATTATGGGAAAGTTTTTGGCTTTCTACTACTTCATCTGATACAAAAAAATAGATGAGAGAATCTTCCAAAGAAAGGAAGGATTATTCAATTTGAAAATAAGTAACTCTATACATGGATGTGTAGATCATGCAAAGAAATAACTTTCAAATCTTACAAATTATGTTTTTCCATAAACCCTTCTGAATCCATTGCGATGTTGTTTGGTAGAAAAAAGAACAATTAATCTTAACTACACAAACTGCAATATCTAAAAGAGACTGCCATAGGTAACAAATGGTTCAGAATTTCAGTGTGCGAAAAGACATGACCACGTACCTATCCGGGCCGCTGAGGGAAATTGTTTGGTTCAATATTTACAACAGACAAATTATTCATATCTGCACACTGTTCCACAAGATTATACAAAGAAACCACCAAGTAACCTTCTGGACCACTTGAACGTACGATTCAAATCTAGACTTACGCCACCACTCATTCTCGTTTCGTATGAACGTCTTTCTCGTATAGCATTGCCAGGCTCTATAATGAAATCTCAAATGATTTGAAAAATATGTCTATTCCTTCAAAATCAAATTGAAAAGATGTCTTCTATTAGGTGAGTTATAACTGTGAATTTTTGTTAGTTGTAATTCGTAATTTGTTTTTATGCTATGTCGAAAATTTAGGGATAGTTGAAGTGTACTTGCAATAGACTAAGTTTTCACACCCTCTGATAATTTAGTACAGTTATTTGAGTGGAAGCAAGCACTTCTTCCACTCCTCTTTGGGTGCGACCTTGCTAACTCTCCCTTTTGGTAGGTCTTTTTTTTGGCTCTATTGTTATTTTCGTTAGATTCTACCAATAAAGTCGTCCACCACTATTATTATTATTGGAAAACTAGTGATAAACAGTGCAACACCACTGAAATTACTATTTCAAATCCGATAACATCAAGAATAGATCTTTACTGCTGCTATCAAAGGTATTATTTTTTCATAATAGGCGAAATATCTAAACAATTGATACAAAACCATTTTTTAATTACAAATTTAACACCCTGTTATTCTGAAAACGAAGTAATTTGGAACATATGTTCAGATGAACTTTCATTCGTATATTATAATGAGGAATCACACCCCGGAATTGAATTCACCACCAATATACAATTTTAATACATTATGTACACTATGATGATTTATTCAGTTTTCTATTCTTCTTCTTCTATAACGATTTTGATCTAAAAAATAGCATAAGTAAGGGTATGGATAATTTTTCCTTGTAAATCCTTGATTTTATTTTGAAAAACTTCTTTGTTATGATCTTGCTATTCACAATAAAAAACAATTGGCAACACTGGTTAAGCACATGACACTAGACATACAGTTATAAGTTAGACATCCCAGTTGTGATGGGTAAATTATAATGTCATCAATGTTTCTGACGTGGGGTTAAATCACACATACTACCAAATGATTCTATGTTAGTTATTGAAGAGTAAAAGGAGATGTGAAACTCTTTGAATAGTCTGTAGTCTAGCTAATTATAATACTCTCTAACTGATAAAGAATTAATGCTATTGATATAGCAGATCCTGAAGACATCTATGCATAAGAACATAGTATGTCTCCTACATCTCTTTCAATTTCTGCTCTATTTCACCTACAACTACGCTTGCGCCAGGGTCAATAATTTTGCAAACTTTATACACCAAATAATCTATCGTTTGCCATATCTTCTTGGTTTCGTCTGGATAGGGTATTTCCAGAGCATGGAAAATCTTGAATGCTAGATCCATCGCACTTAAACAATCGTTGACCAAATATTTATAGGAGTCGATGACCACAAAATGATCCTGACTATTGACTGACTGACCAACTGCAACCATAAATGGGTGTACAGGTGACGAAGATTCTTTTAATTTTTCTCTTCTCTCGGCTAGTTTCACCTCCAGTTCAGTATAGTCCTAGAAACGAAAACAATGTTCAAAAAAAATTAGACCTAACCGGAATGTTATTTGGTTCAAAACCTTGAAGCACATATTTAACTCAATTATCTTTGGGAATAAATGTCGAATATTTCTATTCGACTTGATATTAGAAATGAGTAAAATGAAAAGAAGCGTGTGAGTGATGTGGATGCCTTGGTGAAATAGAATTTTCTTTTTCTGCAAATGTGGCCATTTTTCCGCAAGTTGTACCTTCAGCTTGTCAAGTAATGATGCGTAGTATGCTTCTGTAACGGTTTTTTATTTTTGAAGATGATCGATTAAAATTCATAACTATTCTAAAAAACAGTCGCCATCACGTTTCCAGCTGAAAAAACAGTTATTGCTTTTTTGGAGCCGGCTCCCCCTTTGCAGTTCACTATTTGGACTGTATTTTCTTTTCTGGCGTATAATGGTGTCTCCAAGTTTCCACAACAGTAATTAATCGGCGCTAAAACTCGGCTAAAACACGTGTTTGGCTTAACGTGAGCAAATGCGGCACCCAACAGGCGGACATCTTTCTCATGCCTTAATGTTGATTCAAACTGTGACACAAATGTTGTTTTGACATGTTCATAGCCTCTGTTACCTCTCTCAATTCAATTCGGCGGTCATCTAACACCATCTGGTGAACTTTGGCGATGTTTTTGCCGGTAGTTGCAATTTTTGGACTTCCAGAACAGTCATCGTCTCCCAAGCTCTAACGGCCACGTTTAAATTCAGCTGCCCAAAGTTTTACTGTGTTAATAGTGGTGCATTTTCTGTTAAAATCTGTTTTCCGTTAACCAGCGAAACTTATGCTAAGGACAAACGAGGTCTCAACTTTAAACGTGTGATTACTGAAACTGTGAGTAACTGTCAACAAATGAACAACGAAATTCACTGACTTTTATTACGAGTGCTGCTATGTTGTTGTCGGAAAATGTTCTATTCATCTACCAAGAAATGTTCACTTACCGCAACATGTAGGAAAAATCTCTCTGCCATCTCAATTCTCGAGAGTTTGAAAATTCTTTTGGTGGTTTTCAACCTCATTTGCGTTGGCAAAAACAAGAAGGGTAACAGCTTCACTGACTGAACATGCATATCTATGAAAGTAGACTGCAAATCGTTGTGCTGTATTTGCTTACTCTTCAGTAGTTCGACAACAACTGATCCAATTCTTGGCCAAACCGTATGTAATGACAACCCCCTCAGACCGGGAAATTTCACATTGAAGTCATCAAGAAGCTGAAAATTATTGAAATATTCAATACTTCGCCTAATGAGAGAGAAGTTTAGTACCAATGTGGAACCAGCAGGTGTTCGGAGAGCAGGAAAGGTATTGAAATATTCCAAAGGTGCGCCATTTAGTTTCTGTCTCCTGAAATTGTAGGATGTTCTCCAATTTTGTCGAACTTGATCGAAATTATTTGTCGATTGTAAAAGTGAACGATATGCCAATTTTTCATGCTCCGAATAAGCAAATTTCTGAGATGCTGAAAATAAAAAAGAAATGAAATATTTTATAAATACTCTTTCGAAATATGTTTACTTTCATTCACACTCACAAAATATTAATATATGGTGTGGTATTTTAGGCGACAGAATAATTGTACCGTTTTTCGTCAGAAATACCATTAAAGTTGAACGACTATTGAATTTTTTTAATAATGAATTATGTGAAATCATTGAAAATATTTTCCTCAATGTGCGACTAGAGATGTACTTCCACCTAGAAAGCTTCAGTTCATAATTCTTGTGGATATTTCGACAGTGGTTTAGCGAACATTTTCCATTACGTTGGATTGGTAGAAATAGCCCATATGAACAATGGCCCCCTGCTCTCCTGACATAACTCTCTGATATCTGTAGAGTAGGGAGGGTGAATGTAGACTCACAGCACTTAGGCCACATGTGGCCCATTGTACATCCTCCCAAGGAGTTGTTCTCCTCGGTCATCGTCCATCCTGTCCTTTCCAGGAAGGTGAACAGGCCAGTAGGAGACACTACAGGTGTAGGCCATGACTCGCCGAACACACACTCTCGGTGGCCTCCGCGAAGGTTTTGGAAGGTGCAGCGATATTACTGTCGTTGCGCGGCTTCTTTAACCTTCTTGGCCGTGGAGGTGCACAAGTAAGGGAGCTATCCTGCAGGGAAAGCCGGTTCCTTGCCTTTATTCAAGGTGGAGCAGGAAGTGCCATTGCCTAATTTCCTAGCCAAATTTCAAGCGGTAGATTGGGGTGGACATTTCTGTTCATCCCCAGCCACCACCTTAGATTGAGGTGAACACTTCTGTCCAGCAAGGGATTGGTTTTTGTTGTTTCTGTTTTTGTGTTGTTTCATTCATGTGTGTTCCTACTAGTAGCAAGGAAAGAGTTGGTCACCTCTGGCAGAACCCCGCATTACCAGAGGTAGGTTTCGCCCAGTTTTCCAAGGGGATACTTCGTGACCGCATATCAGCTGTAGGTACGATTCCTTACACCTTAGCCTGGGTAGGCTGGTCTACGGTAGGGGGGTTTTAGTTCCCCTCACCCTACTTATTCCTGCCACTGACCAGGAGTCCTGCGATTCCGTCCGTAAGGCCACATTGACTTCCCGGACAGGGCCTCTAGTCCCCTGGCCGATACCCTATCCGCCATCTGGGGACGCGCCCGATAGGTAGCCCAACCCACGAGCTGACATAACTCTAATGGACTTTTACTTCTGGGGAACTGACAAGAATAGCATTCACAAGTCTGCGCCACGAAATCAACAAATACTTGGTGAAAGAGTACGGTAAGCCTGCCGGGAAATAAGTATTCCAGAGTTTAAAAGAGTGGTCAACAATAATAGAAAAAGGATTGAAAAATGTATCAGAATTGAGGGCGAACCAGTTGAGAGAGATAATATTTGGAACTAACTGACTTCAAACATAAATTTAATTTCTACTGATGTCTCTGCAGTTTTTCAGTAACTAATAATCAAAATTTAAATTTTTGTCATAATGTGTTTCATTCTCATTCCTACATTATTACGAATTTTCGTAACTTGAATATGAAAATTTTTCAAATATCTTACTTCGGTGTCATCAATAGGCTTTTTCATCATAATTGTTATATTGAAATGGCGGTAATTCAAAACATTCGTACTGTTTTAATCAACAATGGCTGGGCAAGGAATATTATCTCTACAAACAAATAAATTATTGGAAAAAAAATTGATGGTGCTTCACTCGTTTATAATTCAGTTTAGGCTCATAATTGTGAACAACTAAAAAGGTGGTTAAAACTTCATGGACGTCCGCAAAAAGGAAAAAAGTGAGCTGATTGAGAGGTTCGGTATCAGCATTTGTTTACTATCTAAAAACATATCCAAAAATAGTATTTAAAGTTTTATTCTTATTAATAATGTCAATTAATTTGATGTAATTGAAAATATTTTTCAGTTGACATGAGTATTACTTATGGAACTAATAAATAAATCAAGCCATTAATATTTTGAGGCTGTACTGAATGTATATGTAAATACTGAATTGAATATGTTTAGTAATTTTTATTAGAGGAAAATATTTAATACAACATAATATGTATGAAATTATGAAATTCACAATCAAAAATGCAATAAGGAATAATGTACGTATGTTGAAATTCCTGATAGCTTAAAGCAGTGGTTCCCAAACTATAAGTCGCGACCCACTTGTGGGTCGCGGTAGCAATTTGGTTGGGTCGCGGTAGCAATTTGGGTGGGTCGCGGTAGCAATTTGGATGGGTCGCGCAAACATATTAAAAACACTTGATAGTTTTGAATTGTTTTTCCCATTTCGGATAAAGGCTAGGGGAGAGTATCGAGTTATGTCGAACATAGCTTCAAAAGAGCTGATGGGGTTTTCAACTACATATTTGTGCGAGAGAGCATTCTCCACTTTGGTATATTCAAAAAATAAATATGAAATAGGCTTTGTGTGGAACGTGACCTGCGTTTAAAGCTTTCAACTTTCAACCCAGATATAGAATCTCTTGTGGATCGTAAGCACCAGCTTCACAAGTCACATTAATTACATAAGTCTCATTGTATCATTTTTTGTATCTGTTTAGTTTTGAGATTCTAAATTAGGTCTTTTCTCGTACTGTATTTCATCTTCAATTATTTCATCTCTTCCATTTTCTTTCGGAGGTGTAATCCTCAATAATGAAATTTCGCGATAATGATAATGAAAATATTGTTAATAATAATAATTATACTTAATATCATTTATGTGGGTCGCGAAAAAAATTCCACAATGAAGGTGGGTCCCCGGGCAAAAAAGTTTGGGGAACGCTGGCTTGAAGGATCAGGGTTTTGTTCAGTTGGACCACTTTCTCCAATGAAGTGTAGTGAGCAAATATAAGTATCCTTGGTAACATCATCAATAGATTTAAATCCTCGGTCGCTTCTGACACATTTTTTCACCCATAATTCACATTTCGCACATGCTTCAATATGTAATTCGCTTGATGATTTGACTTTTTTGCGATATTCAAGACAAAGCTTTGAAAAATTTATGAAATAGTATGTGTTGGTTTTGAATGATTTGTATCGTGTATCACTTTTACATACTCCATAACAACACCGTTTTGCTGTTCTTTTTCGTACAGATAACATAATTATAATGGAGTATAAAAATGTTTTTCTGATTATTTTGACTTACTACTTTTTTTTCAATTAATAAACTTCAATATATATTTTAATTTTTAAAACATGAGTTGCGGGCTCTTTAACATGGTTGTTTACAAAAAAAACAGTACGAAAAAGATGGCTGATACTGACGCATGCACACAAAAAAAAATGTGATGAAAAGGCCTATGAGAAGCAAAATAACGAGAATTTGCGGGATCGCAGTTGGCTGTGTTTGAGGCTGTCACTGGTGCTTAGTATTGCGAAAAGTATGGCTTATAAAGGTCTACGCCTGTACTGAAAATTGAATCTCTGCTTTGAAAAATGACTAAAATACAGGGGTGTCTTCATCTTAAGTGTGTCACAGTGTATATGATATAGAAAATACATTTACTACGGTATGATCTGTAGATTTCATGGAACAATAAGCGTTATAACATAGGTACGTTGTGAAGATATAGGTTCACCTTTTGAAGCTGCATTTTACTGAAAACTCGTTATGCAATTTCTTCTATTAGGAAAAATTGAAAGGAATATATGAAAATGGAAGAGTGGAAAGTCAAAACCTTTTTTTCCATTATATAGGTTGTTTAAAACGTTTCGTCCGTTTCATTATTATGTATTTTAAAAGCTCCATATCTCAATAAATATTCATTCTACTGTGTCGTGATATACTCAGATCGATAGAAAATTTCGTACTCTATACAAATTGTTTCAAATTCGATCCTCACCACTGGGATCTCGGAAACTATGAGAGATAAGGAGATAGTTAAATTGGGGCAAAGTTGTGCATTCACCTGACTAACAATGTGCCGTTGTGAAAGTTCTGAAATTCTGAGTATATCCGGAGATATCCGGGAAAAACAGAAGTGTCGGAATTTTTTTCTGGCTTAATTTTTCGAAGAATTCGAAAATAAATTGCCCTTCCACTTTGCCACTTTTTCCCTGTACATAAAGGTGTTTCCAGATTTGCTATCCGACGTTTCGTCTTCCGGCCACCATCATCAACTTTATTTTTTCTTATGGGCGCTACATTGGATTCTTTCTGTTTTGAATAGAACCAGATTTTACCTTATCAATGATGTTATCATAAGTTATCATGCTTTTTCGAAAAATTAGGGGGATTGATGACTTTGATGTTTCTCAATTTGACTTTCAATTTGTTACACTCAATGACATTTTCTTATTGTACAAGTCATTGAATTTTTCATGAAAAATGGCTTTCACGAATGAAGAAAAAATACATATGATTCAAATGTATAACAAATACGATAGAAACAGTGTTAGGACATCGGAAATGTATTCAAACTTGTATCCCGAAAGACGACAACCACATCGAATTATGTTCAAGTTAATGGATTAAGATTAAAATCTCACCGAGTTTGGTTCATTTGAAAAGCCGAGGAAAAAATACGGAGACAGAAGGGACTAGGAAACAAAAAAAAATTGATGAATGAGGTATGTATGAGGTAAGTTAGACATTGTGTCCTTTTTAATAAAAATTAATAATTTGCAGATAAACATGAACCCGGGAAAATCTACAGCTCAAATTTCCTTCGAAATTAATATTTGTCATACAAGTCATACAAGAAATAACGAACACATTTGGAGCATAAACAACCCCAGGCAGTTACGAGAAATTCGACTTCAAGTGCGATTCAGTATCAACGTGTGGGCAGGAATTTACAAAGATAGTATTTTGGATCCTCATTTATTTGACGGAATTCTGAATGGAGAAATCTATCACCATTTTTTAATGTCGATTTTCAAAGACTATTTGGATGATCTTCCTTTGACTAACTATATCAACATCTGGTTTCAACATGATGGTGCTCCACCACACTACCAGACGAGTATCTAATTACCTGAGTGAAAGGTTTGGTAATAAATGGATAGAGAATAATGGGCCGATGAATGCGTAACTTTGCCCCAATTTAACCATCTTCGTATCTCTTATAGTTTCTGAGATCCCAATGGTGAGGATCGAATTTAAAACACCCTGTTCCCTTTTTCCTCAACGAATTCAAATTGAACCAAAGCACTGCCGAAACAGCCCAAAACTCATCCAGGCATTTGGCAATTATACTTTTAATAAACGTAGTGTTCCACGTTGGTATAAGAAATTTTGTTCCGGAGTTTTTAGACTCGAAAATGAGTCCCGAGGTGGTCGACCTACAGTAATCCAGGACGAGGAATTGGAGACTCTGGTGGTGAATGACTGATCACAAACGGTGCGTGGGATGGTGAAACAACTGGGCGTCAGCTCCTATGCAGTTTTTGACAGTTTAAAACGTATTGGAAAGGTCAAAATGATCGAAAAGTAGGTTGCTCACCACAACACGAAAAAAAAAAAGATTTGTTACTTCAAAGAAATTTATTTAGTCTAATTTATTCCATCATCGTGATTAAATATCATTCATTCCAAACCACGTGTGTACTGTATCGAATAGATGATAATTTTGCGGAAACAAAATGAAATTCTCATTTTGATTTCTCTAATATTTCAATTCAAGAGGTATTTTACATAGACAAATGAATAGTGGATCAGTTCTAGAATAACATTTATCGAGTCCTCAAAATAATTCGGTTGAGTCAAACTGTATAATTTTATCAAATCAAAAATACATCTGTTAAATGAAAACTTTCCAATTCAGTTTAGCATTGTAGGGTGCTGTTTTGACACTAATATATAATTGAATCAGCTGAATATTTATTTTCACTTCAACAATACATATCAATACTTTTAACTAATTTTGGAAATAATTTCAAGACGATGGATAATTTCATTTCAATATTTTTATTATTTGTTGGTTTGAAAAATTGAATTATTTCCTTGAAAGAAATGGTCTAGTTGAAATACTTCTAAAGAATAGAGTGCCGGTCGGCACCATTTGTGTTTGCGCAAGAACCGTAAACTAATCACAAATGGAAAAAGAATTAAAAATGTGTTTTGTGTTTTGCAAGGAAATGATGAAGAGGTTTACAGTTTCTTTTTGATAATACAAGGATTGAAGTTTTTCAGTGTTTTCACAGGTATGTTGATATTTATATACTTTCTTTCATTCTATATTTTGAAATAATTATGAATAGCATGTGATAGATAAACGGACATCGTTTTTTTCAAGCACGTGCCCATACATTTTTCTCGACAGCTATTCTCTATAGAAGTGGCTTGAAGTTCTTACTGTTTAATGTAATGACTGAAGGAAAGCTTCAATGTTTTCAATTCTGTTTTTAAGAAAGTACAAATCGAGTGAAATGATTATCATTGAGAGGTAGGTAGGTATGCATACACTGGGTACCTAGTTGACCTTTAATCTTTGGATAAATTTTTTACATCATAAATAATTGAATGGCGCCGTAAAAAATGATTTCATTTTCATCATGATAGTATATACTGAATCCTTGAAGGAACCTCTTTTAAACATTTTCCTTTCAAAGAACATTGTGAAATAATCACAGTTTTCTCTTGTATTACTTCATTAAAATCAGTAAGACCGAAAAAGGAAAGTTATTTGTAACATATTTACAGAAATGATGACATCCAACAAAACTGCATGAACTCAAAACATGCAATATAATCCCTTTTATTTTTAAACATGGAGGAATTTCTTGATAACTTGGGATTAAATGACCTGATTGGCATTTTCAAAGGTAAAAAAATACATATTTTATTTATCTCCCACTAATATACTTAAAACACATACTTTTCAAACAGAAAATGGTGTAACCTTAGACATAGCTAAAATGCTTACTGATGGAGAAATCAAAGAAATGATTCCCTCAATTGGCAAAAGAAAAATATTCAATCAAGGAAAATTGGTATCATGTATGACAGAGGTATGTCTTTCATTCATAACTTTTATAATAAATATGTATACCATTTCAATTAAAAACAAATTCAGTTTTCTCAAATAACTATATATTTTTCCGATTTACTGTAGATACTTACTATTGTTCAGGTCTGTACCTGAGTAATTGAATGCTAGAATTCTCAAATTCAGTAGATTTGAAGGCTTCAAAGTTATGGTTGAAGAGCTAAGTAAATTTTTTCATCACAGTCATATTTCTAATCAAATTTTTCTGTGAAGAAGTACGTTATTGTTTTTTTTTCTACTATCAAAAAATAAAGATACCTCCGTTTGTTAAATTGGATTTGTACAAAAAAAAATAATCATATTTTTATATTTCTATGAGATAATATCCAAGCTAGTTAGTAGAAATTGATCCAATAGTATTATTGTGAAAATGTGGAAATCACTAATCTCTGTTCTCTTAATAATGAATGATAAAATATGTTAATGTTTTAGATTAGGAATAACCATTTGAGAAGAATTTATATTTTTATTTAAATATTTGTAGAAGTCTATTATAATTTATTAATTGTTTGAATAAATTTGTTACTAAAATTTCTCGATTTTTATTTATATTTTGCTCATTCCCATGTTGAAAAATTTTCCATGGCATTCACATAATCAGTATTGAATATGAAATATTATGCGCAAGACTGAATAAAAAATCTTGATACGTAAGTAGATCAATAATCCAGTTGAGACAATAATACAAATTATATTTCATGTATTAAGAAATTGGGTTGTTGAACAAACCATAGATATTTGTCATTATTATTCAATAACTTGATCTATTTTGATTGGAGATTCATGTAAATTCAATCACTGACTCTCTGTATTTCTGATTCTGCCGAAAAGTACTTTTCTCAATACTAAAACTACGTAATGCTTTTCATCTACAGCATCAGCAGGAGATGACAAAAATCGATGGTCTAATGATTTTTTATGGGAAAATATTTGATGGTAAAAAGCATATTGAAGTTTTAGAGCAGACAAGTAATTTTCAGTAGAACCGATCTGAAGCGCCATTACTACCAACGAGATGCTGGTACTCATATTAGTATAATATTTGGTTCATTGAATCCAATAAGCAAATCCAAACAAGAGGGAAGGATTTTGATTTGTAACTTTATTTCATTTGGTTCATCATCATTCCTACTCATTTTGAACTTTCGAAATGCTTTACTCTATCAGCAAGATACTCACAATGAGGTGTAAACATTGTTCGTTCAACTACTATTCATTATTTGTTCAACAAAATCATTACTTCAGTGGAAATTTTCCCATTATCAAAACAGGCAAAGTTCATCATCCTGCAGATATGTTATGTTCCTTCAACATAACTTTTACTCAAATAGAAAATACATTTGATTATTTCAATCAGTTCCACTATTTCACCCATCTTTAAATTTCGTTTGTTTAATAGAATCTTCGAATTACTCAAAATAATTCTTGCTATCAATCAGACAATATATTACTTGAATTCAATTCTTCTTTAAATTGAAATAACTGATCGATGTGATTGTTTCAATCAAATATTTGTTTGATACAATGAACATATGCTTGAAGAAATAGTTGGAAGTCAAGAATTCTTTTTTCTTGCATCAACAAAATATTTTGTCGTGCATATATGACACTTTTATTTCTTTGAATGAAGTGATTTTCTTTCATTCAACAAATATTTTTTTCCGTGAACCAAGACGATCCTGTTTTGTATCGGATCGTTACATGTGATGAAAAATGGATCCACTACGACAACGCTCGTCCGCCCGTCCATAAATTCAACGAATGGAGCGTCGAAGCTCTGCCTCATCCATGATACTCTCCATAACTTTCACCAACCGACTACCATCTTCACAAGCACTTTGATAACCTTCTCACCGGTAGGACCTTCGCCGATCAGAACCAAGCAAAAACACCCTTCTGCGACTTCATCGAATCCCGAGTATGCGATTTTTATTCTGATCGAATGAATTGACTTGTGTTACATTGACAAAAGTGTACTTATTTCGATTAAATTGAATAATTTATCACTGAGATATAATAGTTTGAAGTAGACTCATGAAAACGGACAAAACTTTTGATACATCCTAATACATATCAACTTCCGTCGTTAAAATCCTGAAATTTCACTACAAATTTTAGATCAAATTGACAAAATCGTTGGGATACACAAAATCTTCACGGAGGTAAAAAACGAAATCTATAAGGCATTTATTCAAAAAACTTAAGTTTTGGAGTTTTACTCACATAGTTTTCTGACTTGTTTTAAGTTTGGGCAGCAGTTTCCATTTCATAAGGAAAACTCTTCTTTGACTCAATCAACACAACTGGGGTGAAGGAATTGTACCCATATTGGATTATAACACATAATTAACCTTGATATAGATCGATAATTTTCCATATTGATCCATGAAATCTACAGATATGTAACTTACCTCCTTTATCTTGAGTTGTTTTCGCTTTATTCAGAGATAAACTTCGTTTCACATTCAAGAATCTTGAATATAACTTGCCCCTAGTCGGCAACTTTTTCCCAGTTGAATTTTGCGCAGAGTAAGGAATGAAATATGTATCAATTCTCTCAGCAGGAAAATATTTAACTATTTCTTCTGCTACTTCCTGTAATATCGCCGGGAATCTGAAGAATAAAGTTCGATTATTGAGAAATAGTATTTGAAAATCAGTATACTATACTTACTTATACGTAGGTTTGTCTTGAACAATTAAATAATCTATAATTATTTTAACAAGTTTACATCGAGTATTATTATCTAGTTTATGCCTGTTCTGGAGCACTAGGTGACCATCTGCATTTTTTGTCAGTAAATCTTCCAAACCCTAAAACAAATTATATTGAATCGAATTGTAAAATTCTAAAATCAAACCAACAAAACTCACAGATGGAAAGACGCTCGGTTTCTCCGTGAAGAAGTATCCTGAAAAAACAAAAATTATTCAGTCTGATGAGATTATGAATACCATATACTCAAGTGTCATGCACTGCATGAGAAATGTAAGCAGAAATAAGAGCAAGCAGATTTCTCACATCTCCGGGTCCAATCAGAATTAATGTCCTGATAGTTGAAACTAAGTCGTGAAAGGACGCATTCCTCTCTAAATTTTATTTTTCTATAATTTCGACTTTAAACTTGGAATTTCGATTTTAAAATGAGAGTTCCGATTTCAAACAATAAATTCCGACTATGAACTTAAAAATCCGACTTCAAACTACAAATTCCGACTTCAAACTCATAATCTCGAGTTCAAAGTCGGAATTTAGGTCGGAATTCCAAGTTCAAAGACGAAATTCCGAGTTGAGAATCGGAATTTCATGATCAAAATAGAAATTTCATTATCAAAATCGAAACTCCTAGTTTAAAGTCAGAATTCCTAGTTATGAAATTTTATTTTTCCATAATCACGATTTAAAACTCAGAATTATAACTTCAGAATAAGAATTCTAATTATACTCGGAATTTCGAGATCAAAGTCGGAATTCTGAGTTTAAAATCGAAATTCTGAGTTCAAAGTAAGAACTCCGAGTTTTGAGCCGGAATTCCGAGATAAAATTGTATTTTTTCCATGATTCCGATTTTAAATTTAGAATTCCAACTTCAAAATGAGAATTTCCATTTCAAACTTGGAATTCCGAATTTTTAATCGAAATTACAAGCTAAAAGTCGAAATTCAGATTTTGAAGTCGGAATTCCAAGTTTCAAGAAAATTTCGCGTTCAAAGTTGAAATGCCGAGTTCAATAATTTCGATTCCAAACTCAGAATTCCAACTTTGATATGAGACTTCCGTAATTCTAAAATCAAAGTCGAATTTTGAATTTCAAGTCGAAATAACGAGTTTAAAGTCGGAATTCCATATTCAAACCCAGAATTCCTAGTTCGTATTGATAATTCCGCGTTCAAAGTTTAAATTTCGAATTCAATAATTTCGGTTCCAAACTGAGAATTCCAACTTTGAAATGAGAATACCGGAATTCCAAAATCAAAGTCAGAATTATGAATTTCAAGTAGAAATTACGAGTTTAAAGTTGGAAAATCAAATTCAAAATCGGAATTCCGAGTTCGTGGTCATAATTCCGCGTTCAAAGTTAAAATTTCGAATTCAATAATTTCGGTTCCAAACTCAGAATTCCTACTATGACATGAGAATTCTGGAATTTCAAAATGAAAGTCAGAGTTCTAAAATTCAAGTCGAAATTCCGGGTTTCAGGTCAGAAATTCAAATTCAAAATCGGAATTTCGAGTTCGTAGTCATAATTCCGAGTTCAAAGTTAAAATATTGAATTCAATAATTTCGGTTCCAAACTCAGAATTTCAACTTTGAAATGGAAATTCTGGAATTCCGAAACCAAAGTTGGAATTCTGAATTTCAAGTCGAAATTCAAAATCGGAATTCCGAGTTCGTAGTCATAATTCCGCGTTCAAATTTAAAATTTCGAATTCAATAATTTCGGTTCCAAACTCCATCTTTGAAATGAGAATTCCGGGATTCCAAAATCGAAGTCAGAATTCTGAATTTCAAGTCGAAATTATGAGTTTGAGATCGGAATTCGAAATTCCGAGTAAGTAGTCATATAATTCAGTGTCCAAAGTTGAAATTCAGAGTTCAAAGTCGAAATTTCTTAAATCTTATAACTATATTTGAAGAGATCTGTATTAATGATACATTCAAGTTTGTAGCCATGTAAATTTGCTTATTCAAGTGTCAAACAGAATTTGTAGAAAAAAACTAAATTTGTACGAATGAACGAAAATGAAAAACAATATGAATTGACGAAACTTAGTAGAGCTTTCCAAAATATTGCGAAGAATATGAAATACGGAAGTGTTCCATGTTACGGAGGAAACATGATGCAACCCTGTTCATCAAAAATAAAGCTTCCTTTGGTTATCTATGTGACATATAAACTTGCATTTGCTTCTTTAGTGAGTTTCATGAGAACACAACATATAAAAAAATCCTGTTCTACATTCCTTTGAATATTTACGATAACTGTTCTGGAAAAATGTCACCATTTCTACTGAACTATTGGAACACTGAAATAAAACAATTATTGTCAAATTCATTGACATTTAATTTTATTTGATAAAATCTGCCTGTTCGTATAATTGTATTTTCTGTATAAAAAATATACAAATTTTAAAACATTTCCCTTTCTCAACTATCCTACACTGTAGTACTTACCTCACAGCACAGTTTTACAGAGGCTTCACGTTTCCTCATTGATGAGAAAATACTCGTAGATCCTAATTCTTCTTACAGTGTAGGAAACAAGGAAGAGATGAATGTTTCTGATTTTCATTTCGAAATATTAATTTTTTCGATACGTATGTATCTCTCCTCGTTACAGTAATCAGACTAATAATGATTTCTGTAATACTGGAGAACATGTAGCCACTATTTCTTTATATGTATCAGTCGAAAGTATATGGTATTTTTTTAATATACTGAAGGTCTGAAAAAAGCACTGTTCCCAAACATCAGAAGTGCTCCACCGAAAAGTCAAAAGAAACACATGTTTTACAAAAGTGCATTAAATATGACAAATTACAACCACGTCCTTCCGGATATTTTATTTAGGTAGAATAAGTACATGGTTGGTCACAGAAGAAATACGAACAATGAATAATTTCAATGGATAGAAGTGTCATTTTGATTAGGAAAAAAATATTTGATCGGAAATGAAGATTCTGTAGAAATTATAATATATAATGTAATTAAAAACCCCATTGGCAATACTAGTATTACACACACATTCTATTCAATAATATATTATTGAGTCATAAACCTAAATATATTATTAAATATTACAAACATTTTCATTTAGAAAATTCAAGTCTCATCTTTCACATTCACCTCATTTTTATAAGGAGTGGTCTGAAAGAAATTTGAAAAAAAATTGTTCACAAAGGTAGGTAAAATATTTTGTGATAGACCATTTGAAAACACTATACCTAGTAAGTGGTACTCCTGAACCTATAGGTACCTGTAATCCGAACGACACATAGCATAAGTAATAAATAATACATCGTTATGGTTGATAAATCTTTTTTAAAAATAAGTTACTTTCACAATAAAATTGGTTCACGAAAATATATTTTTAATACCAATTCCTTTCCAGATGTGTTCCAAACGAAAATTCAATTTGATGTGTTGACCGAATAGATTTTAATTTTCCAGTACTACAAAAATGCGAGTCAATCCTGCATATAACACATATTTATCAAATATAGATATCGTCGCTAGAAATCCACTTTACATCGTGATTTGATTATAACCTATAAAACGATGTTTACTCCCTACCTGTATGATATAAGGAATCAGTTGAATCATAGAAAACACGTTACCTTCTTACCTTCTACTTAACGAGCTATTCAATCATCATATCTGGTAAATAAGGTCAGTGCACTCATTTGAAATAGTAACCAATAAAATATCCAACTGAAATGAGTAGATTAGAAAACTTAACTCAACTGCGTACAAGCTTTAAACGCTACTGAATAATGAATGTCAGCAATTGCCCGATATGTTTTGACTATTTGATCCAAATTATCCATCATTTTGGTTGTGTCACTCAATATATCAGCTTTTGATATGCACAAGAAAACACGTACCATTTTCATAAATGCGAACCTATGAAAAAGAGTAGACAATAAACGTAGCGAGCTATTAACAACAAACAAACGAAATAAGATCGTGACTCGTCGCCTGTATTCGATTGCGGACTGGCGGTGTTGCCGATTTTTCATATCGTACTACTATTGAGTATACTTATAATACCAGAATAGTAGGCACCAAATTCTCAGAAATGACTGACGTTTTTGCCTCAATCTATCTCTTGCAAAAGCGTACGGATATTATACCAAACAGATGAAGAAAAATGATGATAAAATAAATAAAGAATCACAACTTCGACAAACATTTTTTTGTTCAAACACAATAATAGCTCTGAGAATTTAGTGCCTACTATTATGGAATTGTACTATAGTACTGAGTTCACTTCACCAAAAACTTCCTTTTCAATTAGATCACTTTCAGGTGAACACTGATGATGACGAAAGTCGAAAGCGCTTTGCAATAATTTTATAATTATACACTGTCGTACAATATATATTTAATAAATGAATATGTTTCCTTTCTTTTTGCATGCATTCTATTAACTTGCTGATATCCTTCGTTTTTAGGGTTACATAGGACTTTGTCCTCAGCCTTTATTTATATGTAATAATAATAACTGTATTCAGCTTTCCAAATCTATTTATTCTGTAAGAGGCTTGCTGCAGATTCAAAATAGGTAATCCTGCGCGAAAAGTTTTTGAATATGTTGAAGAATATCTTATAGATCAAACAGTAAATGAAATAATTTTTTCAATTCAGTGCATTGGTATGGAAGCTTGTTTTCAAACAAGTTTTTATCAATTGTTAAATCTGCTGAAAATATCAAAACTTCAATCAGGTAAACTCCTGTGACGCCAGTTGAATTATCTGTAACCTAATTTCATGAAGAAAAGCCTCTTTTCAAGGGAAACAAACATACATTGTTTCATTAACATCGCCAAAAATATTTTTGAGTTATTAATAAAAGAACAATATTTTAAGTGAAACTTTGACACCCCATTACTTGAAAACGAAGCAAGTTAGAACATACCTTCTTATGTACTTGCCTGAAATTAATGACATACTTCTAGATACACTCTGTATATTGTTATATTCTGCTTTCGTATTACAGAAATATCAGTTATGAATCACCATCGCACTCGATATGCAGGTAAAAGATTTTTATTGAACCCAGAAAATGCTACTATTGCCTGCCTATGAGCAGGCTATTGATAAACCTCAATTAGGTATTCAAAATGCTGCTTTGATAATTCACTGAAATATTTTGTTTCGAACACGTTTTCATAAAATCATTAGGTAGGAAATAGAATAGTTTCCCACTACCCTACATATTTTGTACATCTTTTGTTTCATTTGAATTACCTATTATTCAAATAGGTATAAAACTGATAACTGAATGACTTCTACTAGCCCCCCTCTTCTTTGCTTAGGTACTTAAGGGACCTCCAGGGACTTAAGGATCACTCCAGTTTTAATATCATAACCTGTTCGATCATAAGTCGTCAGACGTATCAACTATGAGGGCTCTTCATTTTCATAAGATGCTTTTGCTTAAAAGCAGAGAGAGGGCTTTTGCAGAAACAAAAAACGAGAGATATTTTGACGAAGATCTTCAGCTGCATACAGTTAAAAGGCGTCCAAAAAGATCATATACTCGTGAAGAAGAGAAAGGACATGAGGGATCGACAAGCAGAACAACAAATAATTGAAAATAAGCCAAGGATGTTACAAGAAAGTATTTTCACTTTTCGAATATGGGTATGTCCGGCGCTTTTTTCAGAAAATTAACTTTTTCAATCGTGTCATGTGATTTTGAGTAAAAAAACGAATAAACTGAGTTAATCAACATTAGTATTGAGTATTATTTCAATTGAAAAGGGTATATTTTCAGGAAAGAAAGGTTCTGACTTTCCTCACATTATTTTTTATAAAGATGGAGAAGTCGAAAGCCAAAACCTTTTTTTCCAAAAATGAGTATTATTTATTATACATGTTATATAACAGTTCAAAAATTATTGAAGTGGACGGGAATGAGCTGAATAATACTTATTGTTTTCGCATCTATCTAATATTCAATCATAGGTATATTTTTTTAAGGACAAAACACAAGCACTACAGGAAAATCCTTTAGGCGCTCTAAGAGCGGTGCCTGTGCGAAAATAGCGATTCACATTGGATCTGAATCGCTGGAGATTAAATCCATTTGGAAAAACGTTCTCAGCAAGTTTATTCCACAAATGGAATGTACGCCGGTAAATACACACGAAAAATAAGGCTTTATTAAATGTATCTACTTGTAAGTGAAACATTGCAAATCGGTTTAACGAAATCTTAAGTTTTACCGTGCGATTTCTAGCACGTCATAATATGAAGAGAGGTTCCAAAAATATCATTTATTTTGTGACATTCATCAAAAGTACAAAACGCTGAAGAGCTATGTTATACCCGAAATGAAAAGAGGCTGGTTACTTCAATTTTGAGTTACTGGTTTTACTTTTAGCAGATGTTTCTGAAAAGTATTTTACTTTGTATGTTATCATAAAAAATACTATCAAACATATTTTGTAGTCTGTAGTCTTAGTTCTGAAAATAGTCTCATCAAAGATCATTTCCAAATGTTATGGTTCAGGTAGGAAATTGAAGAACTTTCCTCTTTTGTTTCATTTGTATAACCCAATATTCATTCAGGTATGACACTGAGTAAATGACTTCTACTGGCCCTCCTCTCCACAGCTTTAGGTACTTGATGAACCTTGGTGGGGTACCCTCCAGCTTTTTAATATCTTACCCATTCGATCACAAGTCATCAGACAGACCACTATGAGGGCGCTCCATTTTCATAAGATGCTTTTGCTTAAAAGCAGAGAAGAGGCTTTCGCAGAAACAAAAAGCGAGAAATATCTTAACGAAGATCATCAACAGCGCCCAAACAGATCCTATAGTCGTGAAGAAGAGAAAGGAGATACGAAATCGAAGATAATTAAAACAAATAATAATAAAAACCCAGGGATGCTATGTATGGGTATGTCCAGCGCTTTTTTCGGAAAATTTGCTTTTTCAATTTTGTCAAGTGATTTTTGAGTACGAAAGCGAATAAACTGTATTGACTGACAATTATTTAGTATTATTTGGACCGCGTTATGCATAACTCGACCAAGCGCCATTTCGTAAATTTCGAGATTTTGGTGCCATCTAAAGCACAATAGTGTAATTTACCTATAACAAACTCAAGCAGATACAGGAACCTGCAATTTTGAAGTTATAACGTACAGAGCTAAGCGCCAAAGATTGAATCTGCACTTTCTTATTTGGCAACACTTGACCAAACGATACATTTTCATTGAAGTTCAGAAACGTGCCTTGACTGATTTGCATAATGTGACCAACCACCAAAAAGTTGATCGTTGGTCACCTAATGCAAAATGTCCATATCTCCAGGAAAAGTGTGAAGAAGAAAAAATAATATAGTGTGGTTAAGTGCAGAGTAACCGCTGTTTCGACAAAAATAAAACAGCTTTAAAATGATGAAAAGAACTTCTTTAATATTGCAACGTGCTCGTGAATTGATATTTGAGGTACGGTTTCCTTGTATTATAGTAGATATA